ACACAAAGTAAGACCGCCTCAACCCAAACACAATATGTCGACATATGTAACAGGTAAACATAAACACATAACGAACAAATACATATAATCATACAGATCTACTAATCAGTCATATACTAGCATATCACTATCCTATAACCAGGATACATAGTCTAGTGGGTCGGCATTGGTGCCTTCGACCCACGAGTATAGTGAGGAAAACTCACTTAAATAGGAAAACACATAATAAAATCACTGAAGTGGCTAAGATGGATTCCCAACTCTCTGAACACCTACAACCACATTTAATAATCCTTACTTAGCTCATATTTCAAGTAATACTTGTTTTATATACTCAAACCTTACCTAATACAATGCCCTTTCGCTCACCAAATTCCTTATGCGACTAAAAATTTAGTTTAAAATACACAAGTCTAATTAACGTCGCCCTTCCGTCTTTTGTGTTATCAATAGATGTATTTAAAGATAATTAATACAAATAATGCTTTGAATTGTATAAATATAGATAAATTCGTAGCTAAGTAGCATAAGGAAAGAATAGGAGCTAATAAGGATCAAAAGAAGGAAACTGTCAAAAATTAAGAAATATGTATCGCGACAATGCCTATATTCGTGACACGGCCAAGCCACAGACTTCGATTTAAACACGAAAATGTGATGATATACAACGTGACAAGGACCCCCTCATGATGCGAAACCGATAAAATCAGAAACAATAAATATATGTATTCCTAAATCCTAACTAATATACAAGAAGTTGAAACCTTGTGCAACAAGTAAAATTCTTCCACAAAGCAGAAAAAAAGCTAAAGAACATGATTTGAGTATCGTTTTAAAGATCGAAGTTTGGATAAATCTTAGAAGACATTCAATTTGCTTTTATTTACTTATGTATTGCAATTCCAACATGTCTACTTTACATATGGGCTAAGACCCTTTGCTTCCGTTTAGATGTAGATGAACTCTTAATACTATACTTTGATTTGTTAGTTCGGATTTATAAAGTTTATTATTTTTTTATGTTCATTTTATTGTAACACTCGGTTTTGAATCGCTTCAATATTCAGGGTCGTGACCCGATCATCAGTTATCTTAAGGCTTTGGGCCTTGGCGGAAGAGAGAATTAGCCCTTTTTGGATGTAGGTATTATAGACTAAGTGATCCAAGTGTTCAACTGTGTTTCATAGCCCAAGGGTATAATTGTAATTTGGTAGTTCAGGCCTTTATGAATTTTGGGTTTTTGTTAGGGAAGTCTTAAGGAGGGGGTGAGTTGTTAGAAGTGTAGGGCTTCTCGTCACCTTTCCATGGATATAAAGTTCGTCGAATTTGGACTTAGATTGAGGGAGTTATGGCCAAATGAAGTTTAAGTGTTTTGGAGCTTAGTCGAGTATGCGGGGCGTACTCACCAAGTACGCTGGGCGTAATGGCTTGCCAGGTCGCGAGTTCTTTTTTAGTACGTCGAGCGTACTAAAGGGTACGCGTGGCGTACTCCCTTCAGATGGAAACCCTAGTTTTTAGGGTCTTGACCCTATTTAGTATTTAAGCCTCATATATTCTTGAGCCTTGTCCCTTATCAGCCTCCAAGCCTCCTAAACCCTAATATTCGACCCTTAGCCACCATATTAGAGTTCTTAAGCTTTTGTGAAGAATCTTGGAGTGTTTTGTGCATATTGAAGAGATTGACGGTTGTTGAGGGATCATCACTTGGAGTGGGGCTTGTAGATCCAGAAGTTTCTCATCTTTTGCAACCTATTTAAGGTAAAAAGCTCTCATATTGGCATCTCTTTAGTTATATATTGTTTTGGGTGGTTTATGGCACATTTGGGTCCCTTTGGTTTGTATTTATGAGATTGAGCTTGCCCCAAGAGTTTGGACACTAGATCTTGACGTTTTAGGTGTCCCAAATGCATAAAAATGTGATATTGATAGCTGATATCAACTCATGCATGTGTTTAGCCTCTTTGATGAAGTTGTAAAGTAAGAACTTGGATTTGAGCCCCATTAAGCCATGCATGCACATAAATAGTGTAATGAGCTCTAATCCATGAATATATCACAATTATCCCTAACTTGTAGTTTCTTGCACATTTATGATCAAATTTTAGTGACTTTATTTGAAATGGGTGTTCTTCTCCTATTCACGAAGCTCATAGTCTAAAAGTACATTCACCTTAAGAGCATACCAATAGCCTTTGACTATCATTCTTCATAAAACAAAGTTGCTATCTATTGACCACACTAAATTACATAACATTGATTTTAGCTGTTTTGGGTTTTCAAAATGCATACCTAAAACATGAGTTTGTTTCTTCTAGTGTACCTTCTCATTGAAACTTGAATGGACTACAACCAAATCCTCATCATTCTCTTAGACATCATTCTCTTGGAAATCAATGTCTTGTTTATTTCCATACATTTTGCTTGGGAACTCATTATCAGCTGTCTTGTATATGGGAATGGAGTTGATCTTGGGGTATTATATCCTCCAAGTTAAGCTAGTGAAAAATATGGTCTTCTTCTAAAGGATCTTTCTGAGAAATTTGATCTTCACATTCTATAACAGAACCATGTTCTTCGTGAGTGCTTACTTCATCAGACCAATCATCTAAACTATGTTGGAAAAACAGGCCCTCAACTCCCTCTCAAACAATGCACACTGTATTGTTTAATTACGTATGAAAATAAGATGAAGAGAAAGAGTAGTTGTAACTCATACAGCTGCATATATTTCCAGAAAAATAAAAGGCTTTTATAGCCTACATAACCTAATGGAGCTAAACAAACTAAACTCAACTAAGCCCACGTTCCCTAATTTTAATCATCACATTAACAGGGCCCCAAATACTCGTTCCTAACATGACCTATTCTACCTAGTTATTTGACTCACAAAATAAAAGCAAATACTAAAATAAACTTAAAACATATGTCAAGATTACAACCTACATTCACCCCCTTAATCTTGACTCGTTTCTTCATCAAAGCAGTGCCGGTTCTTCCTCTTGGAGCAAGTTTGCTTCTTTGTTATTGTCTTTGTCATCCCACTTTCTGCACTCATAACTAAAGTGTCTAAAGTCTCCATAATTAAAGCACCGAAATCCACTTTTATCACCCCGACCTCTTCCTCTTCCTCGGCCTCTTCCACCTCTTTCAAAGTTTCTTCCACGTCCTCTTCCGTGTCCACTACTTTCACCATATTTTTGTTCACTTGCCATCATGAGTTGATCATGATCTTCTTCCTTTTCTTCAAGGCTTTGAAGCCTTTCTTCATAAGCTTTAACCCTTCCAACCGCTTCTTCAAATGACATAGTTTCTAGATTGGAATATTGTTCAGTGGGAGCTACAATAGGCAAATGCTTCTTTGGAACCGAATTGAAATTTTTTTCTTACAATCACCTCCTCTTCAAGAGTTGAGCCAATACTTTTGAATTTGGCAGCAATACCACTTATTTTGCCCAAAAAGTCATTGATTGACTCATTGTTCTTCATCTTTAGCATCTCCAATTCGTTTCTCAAAGTTTGTAGCCTTGCTTTTTGCACCCGTTCGGCTCCTAATACCAGACCTTGATTGATTCCCACACTTCTTTGGCACTTTGGTGTTTAGCAACCTGCAAGAGAACATTTTCTGGTAGAGTTTGAAAAATTATACCTTTAGTGATATAATTTTTCTTCTCTTCAACCACATCTTTGGTTATAGCATCCCAATGTCCATATGCCCTTAACACAGTTTCAATCATAATAGACCAAGTGGTGTAGTTAGTTTCTGTTAATTTTGGGCATTGAAATGGTACATCAGTACCTTGAACTGCAATCTCTTTTGAACCCCCTTGGTTTGATCCTCATGCCATTCTTCTTTCTTTTGCAAGTAATTTGGTAAAAAAAAGAGTTGTACCTTTCTGTTTCTTTCTTTCTCAGGTAGACAACAACGGGTTGTCACAATCTTCTTTCTTCTTTCTTTCATTCTTTCTTTCTTCTTTCTTTCTTTCCTTCTTTCTTTCTATCTTCTTTCTTCTTTCTTCTTTCTTCTTTCTTCTTTCTTTCTTTCTTTCTTTCTTCACACTAGTTTTGCTGCTGTACAGCCGATCCTCAATCCTTCATGCGTTTTACATGTAATCGCCCACCTCCTTCTTCTAATCGAGCTAGGCTCTGATACCAAATGTTGGAAAAACAGGCCCTCAACTCCCTCTCAAACAATGCACACTGTATTGTTTAATTACGTATGGAAATAAGATGAAGAGAAAGAGTAGTTGTAGCTCATACGGCTGCATATATTTCCAGAAAAATAAAAGGCTTTTATAGCCTACATAACCTAATGGAGCTAAACAAACTAAACTCAACTAAGCCCACGTTCCCTAATTTTAATCATCACATTAACAGGGCCCCAAATACTCGTTCCTAACATGACCTATTCTACCTAGTTATTTGACTCACAAAATAAAAGCAAATACTAAAATAAACTTAAAACATATGTCAACATTAAAACCTACAAACCATTCCTAATATGTTCGTTATAAATGGATATTTGAGGACTTTCGTAAATTGTATCTAAAAATTGGGCATAGTCAATATCATTCTCTATGAATCGAATACTAGTGGATAGATGACGATATGGAAGACAGTAAAAAAAGCTTCTTAACTGTTTCTCTAGTAAAACATTCTAACCATATAACACATTCATCCGGATTCATACCAGCAAAATCAACATCAGTGAACAAAATGTGGTCACCTCTAGCATAAACCAAGTTTCTCGGACAAACATGCCATTAAAGTTGAGATCAACTTCCGGATAAATCAGATCACGTAAGTTATGAGACACGCATGTTTTAAAAGCAAATATTAAGGGGTTAAAACAATACCTTCGTTCGTTAGAATAAGAAAACCCTAATTGAGTTTGTCTTCTTAAAGGTGCTGACGTAAATGTTAATAGGGTGTGAAGGTAATTATTTAGGAAGAGAAAAAGAAGATACCATTTTAGTTTAAAAGGCAGACATGGCATTTCATACATGAAAGGTAAACACTCGACTTTTGAAAGTCAATGACCACCTAAGTAAAATTACCGGCGCACCCCTTTCATCTCTTACAAAATGGTTTAAATGAAGAAGATTTTATGACTTTAGGGATCTAGAGTACAAATAATTAAAGTGAGGGACCCTTTTAAAAAAAAAAATTCTCTAAAAGATCCCATTAACCCTTAAAAAAATACTATAACAAATACTTCTTTAATTGTTTATATTTAAAAAAAAGTTGCATTTTCAATAAAAAAAAAAAATTAAAAGTTTCATTTTGTTTTGTTAGAACCGTGTTACCGACACCTTGAATCCTCATCATCCACTAGATATATGTACGTAACACCATTTCATATATGCCAAAAATATTTTTTCCAAAAACATGCATGTCCCGTGTATGAAAAATACTCCTCCCCTAAAATTCGAAAAAATATATATCAAATTTCATGTTTCTTGAAGTCATTTTCTAGTGCTAAATTATTAATATTTTGGAAATTAATACAAGCAAATGGATTGAAAGTTTGGTCCACATAAATTCACAACCTAAAATAATTCATGGCCACTACAATCGAATATTCATTCCTAGCCATGCGAATTCCTACCAAAGGGGCCCATATCTACTCCCAGTTGTGAGTTGTCTTCATCTCTATCTTGCATTTGATCCTCCTCCTTATCTTCTTCATCTCTCACCCAATCCCATCTCTCTCCGAAATTTTAGGGTTTCCTCCTAAATCCTGTCTGATTTACACATACTAGAACAAAAATTCTAGTTGTTTCTTGCATTAGATCATCAAATTTCATGCAGATCTGCGCTAGATCTTGAAATTGTTTTTATTGTGTTGCAGAAGATGAAGATTCAGTGTGACGTATGTGAGAAAGCTCCGGCGACTTTGATCTGTTGTGCCGATGAAGCAGCGTTGTGTGCAACATGCGATACTGAAGTTCACGCAGCTAATAAGCTTGCAAGCAAACACCAGAGGCTCCTCCTCCAAACGCTTTCAAATAAGCTTCCTCGCTGTGATATTTGCCAAGTAACTTCTTTAACTCCATTTTCTTGTTTTTTGGAACTTCATTTTTATTCGTATTTGAGTTAATCGATCTGCGATTGTTTGTTGTAGGAGAAAACGGCATTTATTTTCTGTGTAGAGGATAGAGCTCTGTTCTGTCGCGACTGTGATGAACCGATTCATTCAGCCGGTAGCCTTGCTGCTAACCACCAGCGTTTCTTAGCTACCGGAATCCGGGTAGCTCTTAGTTCTAGTTCCTCCCATGAGCCGGAGAAGAGCCACCACGAACCACCACCACCACCGTCAAGTAAGAACATCGCCGTCCCACAGGTCGTTCCCATGAAAGTACCGACACATCCAGTTTCTGGATACAGTTCCCCGTCGTGGGCCGTCGATGACCTGCTACAGTTTTCCGATTTTGAATCCTCCGACAAGGTATAACTACACTATATATTCAGTATTCACATATCAAAGTTGTTTAATACTTGTTAGAGATATTGAAAACGTATTTCGTTGGTGTGCAGAAAGAACCAATGGAATTCGGATCGCTCGAGTGGTTGAGTGACTATGGCGTGTTTGGTGACGAAGCTGCCGAAGTTCCTCAGCTTCCGGCATCACAGTCGATCAACGCCACCACATACAGACAAACCAAGTTCTACGTGCCAAATAACAAGAAACCAAGATACGAGATTTTGAACAACGAGGAAGATGATGATGAACACTTCACTGTTCCTGATCTTGGTTAGACTCGAAAGTAAGCTGAGCTTATCATACGATATCAATATCAATCTTGATATTCTGCAAGGAAAAAGTATTCATTTGGTCGTCGTATTGTTAAACAAATGCGTTTTGATCATTGCACTCTTGAAATTATATATCAACTCATGAAGTTTTATAGATGAATGACTAAAATGTAATTGTTTATAAATAATATGAGGACCAAATGAATAATTGTTTCCATATTATGTATAACTGAGAATGAGATTCTATAATCTTTATATTATCACTTTATAGTGTTGCTCTTGGAAAATTAGAATCATATGTCATATTTGTATGTTATGTATTATATATTTTGGCGAAAAAAGTGAGAAATTTCAGAGGAAAAAATGGAAGTGTTTGTTGATGTTTTGTTCATTGATTAAAGTCATGATTTAATAGGCTACACAGCCTTCACATGTGGAACTTATGATGATATTAAATGCATCTTGATACGTATAGGTGAAGCAAGGCAAAAGTTTTCACATTATAGTTGTGTCCATCTACTTTTAAAGAACAAACAAACATATGAATATATAAATTATATTGGGTAAAGACAGCAGAAATTTACAAACATATATACTTTCAACAGTCATGCATGATGCTTTAACATGTAATTGTGAACACTATGGGACGTGAGGCACGTTCTAAACTTGTTAAATCTGATCGGTTCGATCTTAGTTGTCTGCTGATTGTTTGCAACTCTCGGAAAACATGGTTTTTTTTTGTTATCGTTAACCACTGTAAGGTTACTATGGGTATATATACATACCAAATATATACCATGTTTTTAGGGTTCCTACTTACTACGAATGTGAACATTACATACATGAGTTTTAGTATATTGATTCATGCTTTTGTGCCTGAAAAAAACTTGGAGTGGTATAATATTTGATTATTTTGCATGAAGTTTGGGAAAACCTACTGAACTATCTATTAAGGAAAGTGAACTCTACACGATCTACAATGATTTCCATGAACATTGATTATCAATTCTCTCTCTTTTTCTTTTTTTTAACCGATTATCAATTCTCTTTGTTTCCCAATTTGTAACAATCATAGTCGGTATTTTCTTATGGGATAATGATTTAAAAAGTAATATATTTTTTGATTAGTACACATTTAGTCATTAAGTTTATTTTCCATTAACTATTTTAATTATAAACATTTAGTCTTTATGACCGGTTACTTCAGGTAAATCGGAAAAAATGACATAAAAAGGTAATATATTTCTTATTTTGTACATATTTAATCCTTAATATTTTTTTGCACATTTAGTAAATTAATATTTTTTTGTTGCAAAATAAGTCATTGTTGCTTTTGTACGCATTCAATATTTATGACCGAATTTTTTAGTTTTTTCTCACAACATTCTACGTGGGACAATCATTAATAAGGTATTTGGGGATGTTCATGCATATGGTCACCGCTGCCTCGACTGCTTGGTTGCATAGTTCTTATGGTTTGGCTTGGGTCTTGTGTTCTGAACGTTATAACTTCTTCAAACGATCATAAAATTTAACGATTTTTATATACACGCGTTCATATTTGAGTCTACTATAACTTTTATTTAGATTACTTTTGTTAAAAGTAATGCATGCTTACTTACGATCTTTATATTCATGCGTTCTTTATGAATGTATGTATGAACTTTTTTTTTATAAAATCGTAATTACAAATATATTGTTTTTTAACGGAAATAATCTAAACAAAAATTGTAGTAGAATTAAATACGAACGTGTGAATATAAAGATCGTTAAAATTTGTTATTGTATGAAGAAGTTACGACGTTCAGAACACAAGAACTAAACAACCAAATAGTCGACGTCGCGGTGGTTATAAACATGAACAACCCCAAACACCTTATTAATGATTGTTCCACATAATGTCATGAGAAAAACCTAAAAAACGTTCATAAGTATTGAATGTGTACAAAAACAAAAAAGACTTATTTTGCAACAAAATATTAAGGACTAAATGTACAAACAAATATAAACGACTAAATGTGTACAAAATAAAAAATATATTACATTTTTAAGTCACTTTTTCCGGCTTACCTGAAGTAGTCGGTTATAATGACTAAATGTGTATAGTTAAACAAGTTGAAAGGGGTAAACAATGCAAATAAGACAATACGTTAGCAAAACCGAGTAGATCTATGTAAAATTCTTCTAAATCTCTTCAACTCTTGAGCTCCAATCAATTCCTGGTCTTATCCAAGGTTTCCAGAGGGTTTTAGTCGCAATCCCTCTCAGAAAATTGGCTAGAAGTCCCCCCATTTGACCTAGTGTTCGGATATATATATATATATATATATATATATATATATATATATATATATATATATATATATATATATATATATATATATATATATATATATATATAGTTGACATATATCTGATCACCACGACGTGGTCTTCATGGATATCTCGTATTCTCCAAGTCAGATCATTGGTCGAGATCTTCCATTAGCCATATTGTGGTTGATGATCATCATGATGTGGTCTTCTATCTTCAAGCCTTCTTTGTCTTCTTTTGCCTTAGCTCATTCATTCCTGCTTCCAGCTCCTCGTTTTTTTCCTTTTCACAATGAGCATGTCTTTGCTACTATAAAATAGATTTCAAACATAATAAGTACATTATGTCCCAAAATAAACATCATCGTAGCTAAAAGTATTAGAAATATGTACAAAATACATGACTAAATATGCACATATCACATATCACATATCACCAATACCTCATTGCACATATGGAAAGTGTGCATGTGATCTAGGGATCGAAGAGGTTGAGTGAATCCAAAGAAAATGAGAGACATGAATTGTTGATGGGTCTTAACAACATTTTCTTAACAATAAAGACACAAATCCTCGCTTCTAAACTACTCCAACTCTGGGGACGACCTATCATTTTGTCTTTGAAGATGAACAACAACGTGCTGTATCAGCAACAAGGAATCCAATACAAGAAGCTGCTACCTTCCAAGGTTCCATGTTAGATGTCATTTTATGCATCTTTTAGGGTCTTTTTCATTATCATTTAGGAGCATATTTTGTACATTTGCATGTCATTTATTTAAATAATGTTCAACTCATGTATTTCGTTAGAATTCTCGTATTGCTCACGTTTTTATGTCAATTTCAGATAGTTCGAGTGGAGCAGTGCTTTGGGAGCAGTTGGATGCACGTTTGAAGCTTAAAATGGAGCTTGAAACTTATGAAGGATTCTGAGGAATGCTTGGAAGATCTTTTGGTCAAGAAACATTCAATCGAATTGATCACACGAAGATAAATTCTACGATCCGAAGCTAAAGGATGTTGGTGACAGCTTTGACCCCCTGTCAGTATTTTGACCATATCTCATGAACCATAACTCCGATTGACGAGATTCAAAATGTTCTGAAAACTAGACGAAATTTCGGACGTCTTACGCAAAACATGCGATCGCAGCTCTTGTCCATGCGATTGCATGGAGCCTTTATGTGATCGCAACTTGTCTTCGCCGTCTTTTAGTGCCAAAAATTCATCTGGGAGAAGAAAATCAAAACAAGAGATCGGAACCTATGTACATGCGATCACAACTTTGCCATATGAGATCGCAACTTTGCCAAAAAGTGTCGAAATAGCATCCTACTTCATTAAAAAGACCTGCGATCGCAACCTCAATATCAGAATCTCATTCTGGAAGCTTCCACCTTGAGTATAAATACAACCCTGATAATCAGTTGTAAGGGTTGGACGATTCCAGACGAAAAAACCACTTCTGAAGGCGATTTTGAATTCTTTCAGCGACTTTTGAAGATCTGAAGACTACGAATCATCTCATCTATTTAGTTTATCTGGATTGATCAGTAAATGTATCTTTTATCTAATTTGACTTCGTTTTTGGCCATGTCTTGCTAAACTTTAGTTTTCGGTTCTGCATAGACTAGTACTTTTTATGTGATTAGTTTTCAGATCTGATTTTCGTTTTGTGTTTCTATCTAGATTTTTCAGTTTTGACCTTAATGAACGTTTGATTTTAATTCTTGTTAGTCTGATCACCTGTAATGACGTAAAAATTCAAAACAATTTTTCATTTTTCAAACATAACATTCCTCATTTAAATCATCTCAAAACACAAGTGTATCAATTGTTGTCACAGTAAAACATATCCCAGAATCTCAAATACAAAATCCTCTGTCAGTGTGTACAAATCATGCCGGCGCCTTCCCGCGATCCTCGCTAGTACCTGAAACACATATCACATAACACGGTAAGCATAAATGCTTAGTGAGTTCCCCAAAATACACATACAGCACATAAGCCACTCGAGGCTATAACCTAGTATGACCCTCTGGTCAATGTGTCTCAGCGGGACCCTCCAGTCCCGAAGCTCGTTGGACCTTCCGGTCCAGTCTAGCTCGTTGGACCCTTCGGTCTGGTCTGATCGAGGACCCTCTGGCCTCATGATTCATTGGACCCTCTGGTCCGGTCAATATAACACATAGCATACATATAACAATGCACATAAATCTCAAACATACACATACACATAAGACCCTCCGGTCTGCACCTAGATACCATTCAAGGTAATGTATAGTGAGAAGACTCACCTCATATGATGTCTAGTAACTCACGTGCTCGATATCTCCGAACTCGAACAATGACCTAGTTCCCGCCTAATAAAGTAATTACCTCAAATCAATAAAAGCTCTCAAGCTAGGCAAAACCCTTCCTATGTTCTCTTAGAAGGCTAAAAGACCATTTTACCCCTCTAATGGTCCAAAAGTCCAAATGTTGACCAAACCTTAAAAGTCAACGAAAGTCAAATGTAGGGAGTTACGCTGCGCGTACCAGCTCTGTACGCGGGGCGTACTCCGCGGTCCTCCAGAATCGGGGTACTCGACCCCCTACGCGGCGCGTACTGGGATTTATGCCCAGCGTAAGTCCCAGTTTCACACTTCCACGATTTTTGGTCTGAATAGGTTAAGACATAAGCTCAAATCCCAGATCTAGGCACTCTACTGTCTCTTAAGCCATAAAGTCGAAACCTTTAAGCCTTTGCATGGCTGTAAAGGTCACCAATCACTTCAAACACATATCCTCTTTCCCCATTAAGCCCTAATCTCATGCATGACTTAATCTTAACGTCCAAGATTGGATTTTTATGGATTAATAACACAAGATACACAGAAATGGGGTAGATCAAGGTCCATGGAGTTCCTTAGCTCAAAAAGTCTCCACCTTTGGGACTTAAACCCTAAAAATGCTCCTATATGATGCTCATAACAAAGGAGTGGTAAAGTTTGAAGCTTTTTACCTTTGTGAGAAGCTCCTCACTCAGTTTAGCTCAGATCTAGAAGCTTGGACTC